TGTGCATGAAACAGAAAGAACAGTATGGACTTCTTGGGCGTATGGACTCACATCGGAAGAATACCATTACCCCATCGACTGAATTCGGTCCTGAAAAGCTGTATTGTTTTTTTTTTTTTGTAATTGCACCCTTTCTCCTTACCAAGACCACTAGCACATTGTGAGCGCGAAGATAAGCTCAAGACGTGACATCAAACATAAGAAGAATAACGGAACGACGATAAGGGCCGTTCTTAACCGGGATCGCGATCCCAAACTCGAGCTCTGATTGGCTGCTCCCTCCTCGCTTATTTCCGAAAGTGTACCTCCGCGTACCCCGACTTTTGGATCGCCGGATCCCGTGTAGTAAGAAATGGACTTGCCGCAGTTTGTGGAGTGCTCTCAGGATAATTGCCGGCGCCGCCTTCGCCTCCTCCTGTTAGCAGCTGCAGCGGAGATTGCTGCTGACGAGTGGAATGGCTGTATCTTGCGTCGTCGGCTGGATTGGGACGTGCACAAGTAGACGTTGCTGCTGGAAGGCCAGTTCCAGCGTTGTTACCGCATGAAAGTGGAGTCGTTCGAGATCCTACAGTCGTTCATCAGGACGGCGCTGGTCCGGGATGAGCTGCAGTCTCGTCGCCGCACAGGGACAGACCCGATATCCCCCGAGAACATGCTGCAGATGACTATTGCGTGGCTTGCAGGAAGTGGTTACCAGGTGTCGCGGTGTCTTGGTGGGACGTCGGTTTCTGCCGTCTACTCGGTGTTGCATGAAGTGATGGACGCTATTTGCTAGTGCCCTGAGTTGAGAATCCGTGCTCCAACCGAGTCACGTCAGCGCATGTTTGAACTACCCGACGGGTTTGTAGAAATCAACAAGGACGACTGGATGCGTTGGATGCATTGACGGATGGCTGTGCGAGATTCGCCAAAGAGGTGCCCGATGAGACCTCATTCTTCTCGGGCCACTACCAGAGGTATGGAGTCAACGTCCAGGCTATCTGTGACTCGCTGTCGCGCTTCATTGGCTGCTGCTTTGATTCAACTGGAAAGTGGGAGACTCGCGAGAATACTGGCGCGGTCGTCCTTCTTCGTATTCTTGAGGACGTTCAATTTACGCGCCGTGCACTCTAACTTGAGCTGATCAAGGCTCCAATAGCTGTATTTCTCCGACATTGGAGGGCGCACGGGACGCTTGAGCGGCGCCAAGTCGATCGTCACGGTCAACATCGAGCTCATTGTGGTGGCCGTTGTGTCAGGTCCAGCAGTGGAAGCTGCAGCGTCGTCGCTTGCCTTGCGCTTGGCGGTCCGCGCCATGTTGCATTTTGGCGGCAACGTTGATTTTTTTCAGATCGCAGTCCGGTTATGAACGGCTCGGATCGCAGCGTGAACCCATTTCACGGCAACGCGCCAACGCGCTGGATCGCGATCCCGGTTAAGAACGGCCCTAAGAAGGAGAAAGAGCAAATTTTCCTCTTTGTAGAGAAACTGCAGAGACGAGTAAATCAGCAAAATGGACCTTGTATCTGGAATACTT